CAGATAATCCGGCAAATATTCGGATAATTATCCTGATATCAATAGTAAAACGGATATCCGAATAAATTCTGATTCTGGATATCCGATAGATAAATGGAGAAACGGATAATGGATCGGAACTCTACTTTTTAGTAATAATTTATATCCATATATCATTATATATATATATATTATTTATTTATTTATATGCATATATTTATATTTTTTATAATATTAGGCACCAACAACAAAAAAAGAGTCTATTAAAATTAAAAAGGGTGGAGTTCTTTTGGATCTGTCGTGAAACTGGCTCGTTTGAATGGTTTCAATCCTTACTGAAAACTTTAGAAGCTACCCAAATGGAAGCTGGTTTCCTAAAATTCCATATTTATCTGACATCAAAACTTAGAGAATCCACAATAAATAATATAATAATTAATGATGTATCTGGCTCATATGATCCATTAACAGATTTGGAAAGCAGAACGCATTATGGTAGACCAAATTTTGGTCATATATTTAGTCAATTGAATAAAGCGATTGAGAGTGGTCGCTACATACCAGGCAAAGAAGGAGATTTAAATACTAACGTGGGTGTATATTATTGTGGCCCTCCCGCGCTAGCTAAAAGTTTGAAAAAAGATTGCAAATCTGCAAATACTGAAGGTATAAATTTCAACTTCCATAAAGAGCATTTTTAAAAAATTCCTATTCGCATACAAAATAAACAATTTTAATTCATAATCATCGATTAAGCTTTAATTAGGCATTTTGATTATTTTTATGTAAAAAGAATTATATATATATATATTTTTTTTTTTAAAAAAAAAAAAAAAACTGTATTTTTTTTTTTAAAAAAAAAAAATTTGTTTTTTTTACAAAAAGGAGATATGTATTAGGGCCTTTCTTGTTTAATGTGTACATACTGTATTACTTCTGAATTACCTTGCTAGTATGAGATTCTATGGTGTCATAATCTTAATTTCTCGAAATTCGTAGAAATAGAAAAATTTGTTTATTATAGTTAAATAAATCTAAAAAGATGTACGTTTGGTATGTCTAAAATAAAATCCAGAATATTATATTTTATGAGACAGAACGTTTCACTTCGATAATTCGATATGAGAATATATGAGAACCTTATTTTTTGACCTCAAATTTTCCACTCTCCAAATTAATTGTGATGCGAAAACTATAAAAATTTTGGTACTTTCGGGAAATCGATAAGAATCTATAATGCTTTCTTCTCAAATATTAAAATATTTCTGAGAACGCAATATTAAATATTATACTTTCACAAGAGATTATAAAATCCCAGAGGCAAAAATTTTCACTGCTAATATGTTGTGGGCAACTTTAATAGGCGATACAAACTCAAGATAAGTCTTTGTGATTATGTAAATTTGTAGAACTGGAAAAACAGAAGCCTATTTGGAAAACCCCAAGTAGAAAAGTAGCATAAACTTTTGACAAGACATAATCTGTCAAGACAAGCAGATTTTAGATTAAAAGAAAGTATATTGGATCAATTCTATATATCAGAAACAGGTTATAGTTTTTTAAGTTATTTGAATTGGAAATCTGAGAGTAAAGTAGAAGTATATTAAAGTATTAAAAATATGTTATAAAATTGGTATTAAGGTTTGGATAAACTTTATAAAGACATATCCTATTAATAAAATTATAAAGTAGATAAGTTAGTTAATAAAAAGGTTTTTAAGCTTATGAAAGAAATCAAAATCAAATCTAAATAATTTTTATTAAATACAATGACATGATAACTGAGTTTTAGAATTAGTAAATAAGTATTTACAAGTAATAATTTAATTATTCATCAAAAACTAACTAGTTGATAATTTTTAATTTATTTGAAAAAATTTGAAATAACTAATCAATTAAATTATCATCTAGTTAAATTTTAAAATATTTATCTAATTAAACTAGTTTATATTGATTTGTTTAATTTGATTAACTAATTAAAATTTAATTATATAATTAAAAAAATTAATTAGTTATAATTATAGTTCAAACAATTAATTAAAAAATTTTTATTAATTTAAATTATTATTTTTAATCAGAGTTAAATATAATATCTAATAAATAACTTATATTAAAATCTTTAAATAAATAATAATTAAAATTGTATATATAACTAGTTGTAATTTTACTAATTAAAAATATATCTGAAGTTAATTTTATAAATAAACTCAGTTTAGTTAAATAGAAGACCCAAGTAAAGAGATAGTACAGATCTTTAATGACACTATTGTAAAATAAACAGATATTAATGTTAAAGTACCCAAACAGACAAGAATGCTAAATGAAAGGTACCATCAACTATGCAGTCAAAATGGACTAAAAAAAAAAATATTAGGTTAATCTGATATATTAATAAACTGATTATAGTCTTATCAAACTATCTGAATTAAGAATTTAAAGAACAAACAAAGGTTTACTAAAGTAATTTAAATATGTTATGAAGTAGATGTTAGAGTTCAAGTAAACTCTACAAAAGCATAGCAGTTTAATAACTAGCCCTGACTGCAAGTATTAGTTCTACTATAGCAATACTGTATCAGTTATAAAAATAAGTACAGAAGGCTCTAGAAGGTTTATTTTAAGGATAAATAGTTCTAAGTTTGAGATAATAACCTAGATATAATCTAGTAATATTAATACAGATTCAAATTTAAAGGATTTAAAATAAAACATTCAAGCAGAGATATTAGGTATAGCAATTGGTAAAGAACCTTTAGACAAACTTCTTAAATAAATAATATAAAAAAGTTATATTTATAATCAATTATAAAGGGTGTGGGTTCCATAGCTTAGTGGTTAAGCTCCCATACCCTCCACAGTCAAGGTT